TAAAAAAAAAAAAAAATTTGAAAAAAGAAAAAAAAAAAAAAAACAAAACCAACCCCCCCCCCCACCCCCCCCCCCCCCCCCCCCCCGGCCAAAAAAAAACTGGACTTGTAAAGCAAAATCGAAAAAAAAAGGTGTACAGAAGTGGTTTTATACTGATCCACACAAAAAAATGTTTTATGAAGCTGTGAAATAATAAATATAAACTGTTATCAATTGAGGTGAAGCAACAAGTTAACAGTTTAGGAGAGAATAAGATGTAACTTCAGATTCTACCATTTGCATGTCTGGATGGAGAGATCCGGAGATTAAACAGAGCCTCCAGAGACCACAAAGATGTTGAGTAATAAGAAGGAGTTGAGATCAATCTTTTCCCAAATAAATGTGATTAAAAAAAAACTTTAAAAAAAATTGGATCAGATATGAAAAGATAGACTTCCTTTAGAGCGCTATATGGAAAGTCACTCAGCAACTGAGGTCAGAAAACTAATGAAGGTAGTACATTTCAGGAATGACAACATAGAAATTTTATTCCAGCCATCAAATTAATTTGATAGTAGACAATCTGAAGAGTCCTGTTCAAACAGATCCTTAAAACTCATCCTTGACAATTTTCAGTTTCAAACACTAGAGGGCGCTCAGTGTTGCTGATTTTAAAGTTAAATATTTGATACTTTAATCATCAAATTACAACTATGGTTCAATTCATTATTGATGTAAAAGCAAAGTTTCGCTCTGCAGATTGTCTGTGCTCTATCACGCTGAGACAAAATAATAAACTCAGCTAAAAGAAAATGTATTCAACAATATGCAAAGTGTGTTCATTTAAAAAGAAGAGGGGAGTCTGTGTCAGTCAGTAGAGGAAGGAACTCCCATCAGTTCAGCTTCAGCATCAACCATGTTCTCTGTAGCTCTGATGCTGCTGCTGACAGCTGGATCAAGTGAGAAGCTTTGGGTCGATTCAAACTAATAACTGCACTAGATTCACGAAAATTTTGATGAATTATGACATCAATTCTGTTTCCTTTTTTTCTTAGATGTCTTGAGCATCGATCTGATTCAGCCAGACTCCCAGATTGTCCAGCCTGGACAGTCTTTGACCATCGTCTGTCGGCCCTCTGGTTATTCTTTGACTGCTGTATTTGCAACAGGTTGGATCAGACAGCGTGATGGAAAACCACTGGAATGGATTTTTCATATGTGGGGACATAATGGTGACTTTTACCAAAATGATGCCCTGAAGAACAAGTTCAGCTACAGCAGAGACATTTCTGCTGGAACAGTAACAATAACAGGACAGAATCTGCAGCCTGAGGATGCAGCTGTTTATTACTGTGTGAGATGAGACACAGTGACACAAACCACATGGAAGCCTGAACAAAAACCAGCCAACCATCAGGATGCAATTACAGAAAGCCTTTTCTGTGTTTGGATAAAGAGACGGTGGCATTTCTAATAAGTCTCTAATAACTAAACAATTTGACTAACATTCACAAAGAACCCACTAAAATCGAGTGTTAAGTTCAAAACTGATTTACATATTTATTGAGCTTTGAATTGTGACTTTCAGCTTGCTTGTAAATTTCCTTAGTTTTTTTTCCTCCTCTGTTTCTTACAGTAGCCTACAATAAAGATATTCATGAGGCTTTTGTTTTGTTTCCAAAAGAATAATCAGCTCCATCTTTGACATGTTGGTCCTAATAAATTAGTTGAAAGAAGTTATCCAACTAATCTAAACAACCTGGGTGAGGCAATAGGAATTACTGGAAATGTACTTTATAATATAGCAAAATTAAAAAAAGTCTGTCCTCTGACACAATGTGGAATCACATGTCTTTCCAACAGCATTAGCCCCAGAATACAGTTCAATTCAATTTAAAATAGTGATTAAGAATTGGATTCAGGATAGACCGTCCATGCCTGAGTGTGCACTGGACGTCTCTGCTCTAACCAAGTAACAGTCTGATGCTACGTTCATTGTCAGCTTCAGCACTCACTCTTTAGGGGATCTTGCCACATTCTGTACACCTTCTGACACTGCAGCTCAAATCTATTAGCAGTTTCTGCCTCCAGTGTACAAACAGGTTGAACTTATGTCTGCCTCAAATCTTCCTCGTTCTACTTAAACAATCTGAACAGATGAGATAAAACCACAAAAACAGAAACCATCTAGTGTCTGTTGTTTTATCTTTATTTGTGCTGCATATCTTGCATCGTTTTTATACACGTGTATAGGAGACATAAATGATGGCTTAATGGTAAACTTTAAAAAGTATTACTGAGCAACATGCAGATTGTTATAGAGAGAATAAATTTACCAGCAGACTATGACATAATAATGACACATTATGACATTTAGAGATGTGTTTCTATTTCATAAAGAAAATGCATTAAAAAAGCACAGAAATCACCAACCTCTTTTTTATTGGTGAAAAAATAAACAATGAGTTGACATACAGTTTTTTTTTTTTATTGTCTCAGCACATTAATTGTCAATTTTTGTTAAAATGGAAATGTTTTAAACATAGAGCTTAAAAACTAATAAATATGTTTAAAATTATTGCTAATTGAACCAAAAATATGAATAAACTCTGCAACTTTTGTCGCTGTCACATTTCTTTGACTTCTGTTTTTATCCTCCCACCTCAGGGTGGTGTAGGTTTTTGCATTAGGGTTTTTTACTGTGATATTACGGGGTGGCACACAGATACACACAAATACAAAAACCTCAGAATATAAACCTGAGACAGAAATCCTCTCATATGCAGAGAAAATAAAGACAGAACATCTCCAGCATTTGCAGAACATGAGGTAAATATACTGTTTATCTATTTGGAAGCTTAGAAGTTTAACAATTATCCGTTTAAATTAATAAAGCAGCAAAGGTAATTCAGAGTCCATTTCAGTTTTAAAGTCTGATTGAGAGTTGGCACAAAGTTTATTTCAAAGCAAACACTTATGGAGATCAGACTCCTCCGTGAATGTTAATCTGTTCCAGTAAAGTGTGGTAAACACATGGATCTGGTTTTAGTTGGTGTTTCTGTGGTGCTGCAGGTTTTTGTTATAGGACTCAGTGAAGATGTAGCACTGTGATGGAGTTTTTGACTACTGGGGAGATGGAACCACAGTCACTGTTCGTCCAGGTGAGACTTTTTACAATATTATCTAAACCCTGCTTTCTTGCTGTATTTTAAAGTTATTTTGGTAATATGAAGTGTTGTTTTTTTTGGTTTCGGTGGTTATAGTACGTTAAAAACACGCTGAACAAACCGCCTGAAGAGATTTGACATTATAGAGGAGATAATTTTACAATGTTCCTAATTTATGTGTTTGTTTGTTTTTTAATTTATTTAAAATAATATTCCATGAATTTTGTTCGTATTGTTTTTGTTCAGTTTTAATTGTCCCTCTGATCAGCAAAATTGTTCTTTTTCACAAAAGAGTTTAGGCTTTAGCTTGATATTATTACTTGGAATGTGAGATAAAAGGAATTAAACAGGGTAGAAAAATAAAGTATTATAATCGATTCTTCCAAAGACCCAAAATGTCTTCCACAGTGTCACTCACATTAAAGCATGAAAGCATTGCAGTTACATGAAACCTAACAACTGCATAATAAAATAATTGAAAACAAAATGAAATGACAACTACTGCAATAATAAATCGAATCAAAATTGATCAGTTTATTTGTGAAAACTAAACATAATACAAAAAAATAATTGTTTTAAAGATAAGAAAAAAGACAAAGTACTTAAGCAATATAGCACAAGTATTTCATACCATTAACAGTTGAGGTGAAATGGAAAACATGAAAATTCATAAATCCTGATTTAAATTGAAACTTTATTGCATCAAGTATATTTCCCGTATTAAAATTGTCCTATCAGTTGAAGCCATTTTAATTACTGAAGAGAAACAGAGTTTTAATATGTTGTAGTTTTGCAAAAACAAAGATTTAGAGATCCTTTAGTCCTCAGATATCTGTAACCGTAAAATAGAATATTTGAGTGAAAAATGTTTCTGTAGATGAAAACTTAACTGAGTCAGTTTCCTCTGCTTCACTGCGGCTCCTTGAACAGAATTAAACCAACTCTCAAGTGTTGTCTAAATAATTTATACTAAAAATGTAGTTTGTGTGGAAGGAGCTGACTTCAGTAAAGTTTTCTCCCTGCAAACACACACACACCGCTCCGTCCTCAGGAACATTAGAATCTCACATTCTTGGAGAATTTAAATCCATTGGTCTAAAGCAAAAACAAAGTATCTGCAGCTGCTTCAAACACACAAAGAAGCTCAAAAACTTTACTTGTTTTATTGCATATTTAAAGCTGCAGATGGGCAACATTACGAAAATTAAAAAAGCTGTTTTCATCTAATTAAATTTGTACTCAATATCATGTTTGATAAAACACTTAATGTAAGAGAAGCTTTATTGTTTAAAAAACTGCAACATAAAGAACATTGAGTTGTATGAGCTCAAAAGACAGTATGGGAATCAAATAATTGTCATTATTTGTGATTAAGATTATGAGGTATAATAAAATAGCACAATCATACAACGACACAACCAAAACTTATGTTAAAAATAAAATGAAGTCAAAACAAGAGAGAAGATTGACCTAAGAGGAAACATAAATATATACTTCTAAAATCAGACGAAAAATGGAAAATTAAAAAAATAAATAAATAAAAAATCAGAAACAACAAAAGGTCAAGGAACTTAATTTATTTTTGAACAATTGCTTGTGTTTATGTTACACATTTTAACTGTTTAAATGTAGTTTAATTTATACACAACATATTTTTTAATTTACATAATTTATTAAAATAATGACTGGAATTAATAACCCAAAAGCATGGCTATAAAGACAATGGTACTGACATAATATCACTGCCTATTAATAAAGTAATAATAGTTTGTAATAAAAAATGTTAGACTTACGGGGATTTATATAAAATATATTTAATTTATGTGTTATAAAGATCTGATAAAAGTAAAATTTTTAAAATGGTCTTAAAAGTACAAGCTAAGTAAAGCATAAATGTATTTAAATTTGTGAAGTAAGAGGAATATTTATTTACAAATATAATATGTTTCTGGCCCCATAAGGCAATTCAATGGCAAAATGTAAGTTTTTGAAAACTATTTTTAAGTTTAAAATTCTTAAGTTATGATTTTAAACAAAGATAATTATATGAACATTTTAGAGAAAAAAAATTATCATGTTTATCTTACTTGACAAATTTCTGTTCATATTTTTTGCTACATTTGATTCATTAAAATCACGATTTGCTTTTTCTTTGTTGGAACAGATGGTCCCTCTCAGACTCCGTCCCTGTTCGTCCTCAGTCCTCTGTCGAATCCTGACTCCCCCCTGAAGTCAGCAGATGATCTCGGTCCAAACGTCTGTCTGGCCACAGGTTTCCGTCCAAAGGGGGAAGAGGTGGTTCTGAAACAAAAAGGGGGTCCGGTCAACGTGAGCACTGATGATGCAGTTCTGTCAAAGGACGGGACCTACAACTATGCTGTATTCAGTAATGAAACCATTTACTCCTGTGGGATGAACGGGACCTTCGGCAACAATGAAGCTGGTACTAAACAAATAAAACTGTCTATGTTTGATCAAATGGAAATTTTCAGCTGCTGAATTAATGTTCATGTAATTAATTTACCACCTGTCCTTTCTGTGTCCAAACAGATGATGAATGTGGCAGCATTTATCCAGGTCAGTCTGATCTCTTCCTGTCTCAGTTTGGTTCCATCGCTGCTGTCAGCTGTTTGTGTTCGAGTCTGAACTCTGTTTCTCTTTCGTCCAGAAAAAGCCAAGCTGAACTTCTACCTGCTGCTGATGAACGGAGTCCGAGTGGTGTTCACCAAAGCTCTGGCCTTCAGCACCGTCCTCACCATCAGAGGCCTGATCTTCTGAGAAAAAAATTATATACCACACAAACTTCAAGTCAATAAGATTTAAAGTTTGAAACTTTGCTGTCAGATTTTTCCTCCTAATTGTGTAAATCTGAAGAGTGACATATTTATCACTGAAAGCATTTAGTCAAGTTTATTTTTAGCCAAGTTTAAAAAGGCAGTTCAATGTGCTTTGCATCATGAAAACATAATACAGAAACCGATTATGAAATAAGCAGTGAACATTACATGATGGCAAATGGTGTCATCAAAATCATTAAGCAAAAATACATTATAAGACAATTGAACAAAAAACTCTCCCTAAAACCTTCTGTCAATTAAATATACATTTGTATTCAGGCAGCTCTCGTCTCAAATGAAATGTGCTTAGATCTTGTTGCAATCCATGAAAGATTTGCAGATTTAAAATGTTGCATGAAAACATTTTCTAAGAAGTTTTAAAATATGCTTTGTATTTTATGCTTTAAAGCCTGGAAGTATCTTATTAATTTCTATTAAATTGTCAAGTTATGTTATTTCATTAAATATGTTCCTGTTTTTTGTTGGCTTGGTTCTTTTTTTATGTCTGCTTAATCCTGTTTTGGTATTTTTAGACATCATATCTTTTAGCATGAGTTTGATGAAGCTCAGGTTCTTTTATTACAGTTCACGTCTTGTTTTTCGGTGCAACAGTTTCATCAGTTGAAACCACATTTCGACAGGAAGTTTAAGCAGGAGATGCAAATCTGACTGGAACCAAACAGCAGCTCGGTTTCCCATCAACGGGGTGCGATTTGGTTAACCTCACTTCTGGCTCTGGTTCTGCCTTTCGCACAAGCTTTTTACAGTCGTAGAAAAAAAAAAGTATTTTTTTAACCAGCAGTAAGCACAAAGTCTTTTTCAATCATGAAATGAATTATGCTGTACTTTTTTATGCTACTAAAAAAAACAGCACAGAACTGATGAGAGATTTTGTTCGAATTTTTATTGTGAATACAATTCCTGACTGTTGGGCTGAATTAGTTTTTTGGATTACACTTTTAATGCAAAAATGCATAAACTTTATAATAAGCTCACTTAATGAGGAAATTTTATGTCGTGACATAAAAGCTTATTTGTCTTAATTAAGGAAGATGTGAGTCAGCGGATTTTTCTCTGGGGAAATTATTAGAAGAATGAGGACAGGTCAAATATGCTCTAACAAGGATGCAGATTCTTGGAGGAAAAAGGCAGTGCAATAAAAGTTAGACTTAGTTTAACACAAAACAATGATGTGTCAGCAATATTACAATAGTAAGTTTGCCCATAAGATTATAAATGGACAAATTGATAACGTATTACGTGATTATTAGGACACTGCTCTGAACAGTATGTTTCTCATACTCCCTGGTAGATCAGCTGTAAGTGAAAGAGTAAACCATGGTGTGTGTCAGGATGTGTGTGTGCTTCACACAAACACAACTGCTTCTAGTTGTTAACTGGATTCCCATGATGAAAAGTGTAATAAATGGGTTAGTTTTAGGATTAATGCTGTCATAATTAATGTATTAATCTGTCAAAGGTAATTGTAAAAGGACAATATCTCAGAAACACATTACAGAGTTGCTGTACCCGTAGTCTGCAGCTAAACAAAAGAGCATAATGAGGCTGGACAACAAAACATATCCAATTTTGCCACTGTAAAATATGGTGGGAACTCTTTTACATAAAGCAGCACACAGAGAAAGTCTTCTGCTTTCTCTATGACAGGATTCAGAGAAGCCCAGGATTCACCAGAGAGGGCGCCGTAACACCACTGATGATTCATAAGACGTCTGAAATTAAGTCAGTTCTCCTCAATATATGTGGCTGCAGCTATTTTATGTACCGTTATGCATAATTTGTTCAAGGTGCCATTGTTTAAAATTGTGAAACAAGAACAATATAAACAACAGCAGGGTATCAGATGATAGCAATGAAAAACTCAATTATAAAAATAATTTTACAATATGGACTGACTGCAGGTTATCTGAAATAGATAAGAGCAAAAAGCTCTTACAGACAGATAGATCATTAGATTAGAGGAAAGAGGAATAGACAAAAGTCTTCATTTTTTTAGAATAATTTCATTATCATTACCAGAGGATCCAGCACTGCTCTGGTCCTGCTGCAGGTTTCCATCAATGTAATTTATGCTCTGATGTGTCTCTTCACTGTTATCTTCCAAATGTCCTTTTTTTTTTTGTTTCCAAACAAAATGTACCTGGAACAGGAGTTACATGTTATGAAATGATCCTCTGTATACACCATTATTTAGGCTTGATGTAACATCAGTATATTTTTAATATTTTGTTCTGCTATCGTCCAGAAATAGGTGGGGAGTGTGTGTTTTCTTTTCAGCTATTGCCTGGAAATATGTGTGTTTAGTGCAGAAATATATATAAAAAACAAAAGCTATATCAGTTGCATTTGAACATACTGAATTCAAAACACCTTTGTTCACTGAAAAGATTATATCCATGAATAAAAACTAAACAGACAGTGTGGCAGAATAAAGACAGTTATCAGTGAGATACTGCAGAAAAATGTAACTCTGAAAAGTTTCTGAGGAGGAGTCAATGCAAAACACACCTAACACCTGTATTTATCACCAGGAAAGGCCTGAAGACATGCACACACAGTTTGACATGATGGGCTGTTGGACAGGAACAGCCCATCTTAACTGTCTTCATGACCGGTGAATTTATATACATCCTAAATATATGATCTTTTTAATCGTGCCACCAGATTGATGTTTTTTTTGTTGTTGTTTTTTTTTTATTTTGACAGGTGTTACTGGACAGACTCTGACAGAGTCTGAACCAGTGACTAAAAGACCAGGAGAATCCCACAGACTGACCTGTACAGGCTCTGGATTCACATTCAGCAGCTATGCCATGAACTGGGTCAGACAGGCTCCTGGAAAAGGACTTGAATGGATCGCTTTTGTGCACACAGGCAGTTCCCATTTCTTTTACTCCCAGTCTGTCCAAGGCAGATTCACCATTTCCAGAGACGACTCCAGCAGTAAAGTCTATCTGCAGATGAACAATCTGAGGACCGAGGACACAGCAGTTTACTACTGTGCAAGAGACACACTATCATGTACACAGACAGGAGAGTCATACAAAAACTAGTTCCTCTATTTCACATCAACACTGGGGACAGTCTGATCTTTTTACATCTGAATTAACATTGTAGACATGTTAAGGTATCTACAATTGCAAAGCAAGTTAAAAATAATTGACTCTAGAATTTTACAGAATGTTCTTATCACATTTTATCATCTGTATAATAAATGTCATCATCAGTAGCAAATTTATTGCATAGTCAACATTTGAGAAATACTTTTATTTTGTTTGCCTTTGAGGATATTTGCCATTATGACTTTATTATAACTAAAGTCAAACTTCTCTATTTTCAATATTTTCACAAATAATTTACTACTATAGTGTTAAGTTTACATTAATGAGCACTAGACTCACTGTATCAAAGACAAGAATAAATATGCTTAGATACTTAGATATAATTTTATTTTATTTGCCCTTTATTTATACAAGTTGTCTCTTTGAGATCCAATATGCCATTTACAAGAGAGACCTGCTGTAAACAAGCAAAATTACAAACACAAATAACACAAAAACTCCTATAATGTTTGAAGCATGAACATTAAATATCCCATTGACGATAGAAGATGTGCAGGAAGACGGAAAACGAATTCCCTAACTTTCTTTTAAAGACATTTCATCTTTTAATTAAATTTTCCGTAGATTAATAGAATCTCCCAATAGATCTCCCCCTCCTCACGTATGAATTGTGAACACCAGACCTTGATGTGCAGTAAGGTGAACGTCTGACCATCAGTCTTCGAGGAGTTTCCATCAGCCTGTAGGAAAAAGGACTGGGCAGGACTTGGTTAAAGCCTCAGGAATAAAATGGGTTTTAACTTTAGGAAATCACAGCTAAAATTTAAATATTGTATTATCATTTGGTATGTGTTGTTTTAAATTCAAAACTTCATTATTATGTTTGTATTCTATTCAATTTTGGCAAAAATACAAGAATACACGTCAGGATATCACTGAAAATCTCATAGCATGTAGTGATGAGAATAAAATGAAATATTCACTAAAAGTAAATAAAACATGACAATGTTGCTTTATTTTTTATTTAAATATGTTTACATAGAGTTTCTTGAACATTGAAATATAGAAGAAAGTACAATGTGTTCTAACTCAAAGAATTGCCATGGTGATTTTCTTCTTATATATTTGGCACATTTGCCTTTATAATATGATACAAATGAGGATGTCATACTTCAGACCTCCTCCTGTCAGACTGTCTTTTTAGAGGGAAACCATTCAGTCACTCCTCCCAGTTTCAAGATGATGATCAAACTGTTTGTTCTGCTGACAGTCATCTGTCTGCCTTGTGAGTTGTTTTAAATGCAATATTGTAATCTACCTTTAATTATTTCATTTGGATTTTATTATGTTTATTCTCTTTCATTGACTTTCTGAACCTCTCTCAGGTTCTAGCAGCCAGTCCATGGAGTCCATTCCTTCCACCTCAGTGGTGAAAAGGCCTCAGGAAGTTCTGAGTCTGTCCTGCAGAGGATCTGGATTTGATTTCAGTCGATATGGAATGAACTGGATCAGAAAACATGAAGGAAAAACACTAGAATGGATGGGTACAATTTGGTATGATTCAAGTAAAACAGTTTATGCCAGCAGTGTGGAAGGACGCATTGAAATCACCAGAGACAACAGTATTAGCATGACATATCTGAAGCTGTCCAACCTGAAGCCAGAGGACTCTGCTGTGTATCACTGTGCTGCAGCCTCACAGTGGCTAATGTGAGCAAAGAGGCTGTACAAAAACTCCCCACTGAAAAGAAAGCGACAAAGCAGCAGTAGCATTAAAATCCACACATATTGAGCAGATAAATAAACAGGTGATTTTTGTGGTTTATATATTTTAGTGTGGTCATGTTATGTGACTTAACTCTGTTTTTAAAATCAACAACTAACTACATCAACAAAACACTGAGGTTTTCAGTCTTTCCTTTGAACACATATCTGTGGTTTTCAGACTTATGATCTCATAAATTTTATGTTTTTAGCACAAGAAATCATATCTCTAGTTTTATGATGAGAAAAAATCTCATTCTACTTGTGCTTGCTCTCTCTCTCTACTATATAAATGATCTTGCTTCTTAAGGTTATTCCTCTTTGAAAACTCCGATGAGGCCACATGCAGTGGATCTGGTCTCACCTTTAATTCCTCTTGAATCAACCGAATTGGTACAATTGAAGAAAACACTCTGAAATGGATGGGATTAGTTTAGAACAATGTAAGTAGAACAGACTAATCTAACAGCTTTCAGAGTGGGATACCACAGCAATAGCACCGTGTATCCAACTTTTTGTGATTGAAATAAAAAAAACTGTGTTGCGAAGGAAGCACATGACTTAAAGTAGGTGGAGAAGCTGAGCTCCAGCTCTAAAGAAGGTGTTTCAATGTTGACCACAAGGCAGCATAATAGACTGATGACCGTGATTACAGATAAACATTCCTTAAATGCAAGCACACATTTATGACAATTTCAAAAATCTGTAGGGAAATACAAGCTCTCTCTCAGACACACACGAGTAAAACTTGTGCGCCCATACAAATAATCCAAAGTTTCAAGGTCATACAAACACAGTTTTATATTTTATTAATGCAACTGGTCTGCTAGATACAAGATCTTGGCTGAAAAGCCATAAAATGACACATGAAGAAAAAAAAAAAACTCTGAACTTCTGGATTTACTCCTCTTAGAGGAGGAGTCAATGCAAAACTATCAGTCAGTTTCTTCATTTATGTTCCAAAACAAAGTTCAGGGACTCACTCTTACATCTGAGCTCCAAAGAAATCATACCAGGGACTTTTTACAATGACCAGAACAATTTATTTGGTTGTTTTTCTCACTGTGCTTTGTATTATAACTGGTAAGATCTTGGAGGTTTGGCAGAAAGAAAGTAAGAGAATGTTTATTTTGTGATTACATTAACAAATTGTTTCCATTTCTGCAGATACAGATGGTCAAACTCTGACTCAGTCTGAATCAGTGGTTAAGAGGCCAGGAGAATCCCACACTCTGACCTGCACACTTTCTGGGTTCAGTAGCGAACCTTACATTAACTGGATTACGCAGGCAGCTGGGAAAAGACCAGAGTGGCTCGGTTGGATCAGTCCTGACGGTGCTAGCAGTGGCTTTCGTGATTCAGTAAAAAATAGGTTCAGCATCTCCAGAGACAACAACAGACAGCAGGTGGATCTGCAGCTGAACAGCTTGAAGACGGAGGATTCTGCTGTTTATTACTGTGTTCGAGATCCACAGTGACACAAAAAACAAAAACACTGCACAAAAACTAACCGCATTAAACCAAGTTCAAAAATGTATCCACAGATATTAGTCTGGAATAATTCTCACAAGATCAAAATTCTGAACAAAGCTACGGCTTTTTAATGGAGAATATATTTTGTAAGGAAAAATGTTATTTTAGAGTGTACACTTGAAGAAGTATAGTAATTCTAAAGGTTGCAATAAACAAACTACAAACACACTTGCTCTAAAAAACTGTTACAAATAATTGCAAAAAAATTAAAACAATATTGTAGGAGGAAAACTTTTAACTTCTCATTGGATATTTTAATTTAGTTTTTTTCAAAGTATACGCATACAATATATCTCAAATACAGAGGATAGGATATGTTGATTTATTTGATGTCTATGTCATTTCCTGATAACTATTAACTATTAATCATGAATCTTTCTTACATTTGGAATTAAAAATGGTGGAAAATGGCAGAAAAATGGTGGTAGTCATGAAAGAAGAAACACTGAACAAAAACCCAAAACTTGGTTCAGACTTTATTTCATGAGACTATATTGGCTGAATTGTCTAATAATAAGGTAAAGGTCTGCTTTGATGGAGAACATAAGATATAAGTAGTGAATTATGCTTTTATGTACTGCAGCTATCAAACAGCTGAACTAATACCCAACTATTAATAATTATCAAAGTCTAAATATTACGTCTGTGCAGATAAAGAATATAGCAACGAACTGTAGATCAAGTTGTCGTTACTCTGAATTAGTTTTAAATAGTCATGTTAATTTTTCATAAAAAGGAGTCAATACGCATCGTGGTTAAAATGTTGGTACCTTTTTTAAAAGTATTTTTTGCTGAAAATACATATTTTTATGGGCTTTTATGTGTGTCTATGCATTTATGATTTTATGTTGAGTGAGAGAAAGAGAAGGCAATGAAATTAATTTTGTGATCCATCTAAAACATTAAAACTATTGACTTTTGGATCGGCTACATTTGCCTTTTAAATCTAATTCAAATGCTGACGTCATGCTTCAGACCTCCTCCTGACAGACTGTCTTCATTAAATGACGGTTCTTCACTCACAGCTTCAGCTTCAAGATGTCGATCGGACCGTCTATTCTCCTGACAGTGCTCTGTCTGCCCTGTGAGATTTTATACTGTCATACATATATTAGGCCTCACATTGTTTGTGTCCAACTTAATTTCTGCTTTTCGTGACAGGTTTTAGCAGCCAGAGTCTGGAGTCCATTCCTTCCACTCCAGTGGTAAAAAACCCTCAGGAAGCTGTCAGTCTGTCCTGTAGAGGATCTGGATTTAACTTTGGTGGCTATGGAATGCACTGGGCGAGAGAAGCTCCAGGAAAACCATTGGAGCACATAGGTGCAATTTGGTATGACGCAAGTAAAACTGTTTACGACACCATTGTTCAAGGACGCATAGAGATCACCAGAGACAACAGCAAAAGCATGGTGTATCTTAGACTGTCCAACCTGAAACCAGAGGACTCTGCTGTGTATTACTGTACACGAAACACACAGTGGGTAATATGAGCACAGAGGCTGTACAAAAACTCCTCACAGAGCAGGCAGTGACAGAAAACAACAATGATGTTGGCAAACTGAGCAGACAAATAAAGCCTCAGTTGATTTCGTGGTTTGAGTTTTCCTGTTTATTTCTGTTAAGACAGAAAGAGATATTATCCTGCCTGCTGTGGAATACAGATTTTATATTGGTCTACATTTTTCATGAACATATTAATGTATGGAAAAACAACTAATTCATTAGCTGCAGCAAAGTAGACAAATCTTCAACATTTTGTATTATCCCTGTCTAGTTTTTATCAGCGTGTTTTATCTTTTATCTCTTTTCAGTCTTGGTAAGAAAATTTCTGCTTAAGATCTGAGCTTTATATTTTACATCAAGAGTCATATGAATATATTTAAAATATTTGTTATGTTCATAGTGTAGTTCATGACATGGTTAAAAATATAAATTTAAATAAAGTATGCAAAGCCATAATCAATATATGAATAGAATTTATTAAATGTCTTCGGGAGACTCATTTGTATGAGTAAAAAAAAAAAAAGAAAGAAAAACCTTAAAAATATCAATCTTTGAGCAGGTATTAAACATATTCTTTCATTAATCACAATTATGTTTTATTGTTTAGAGACTTAATAATATTTGAATTTGTGTTTACATCCGCTGTAATCAGAAAATCATAATTAGTAGAATCAGAGTCTTGGAAACATCAGTTCCTGTTGATATTGTATAAAATGTGTTTCACAAGTGAATGGAGTTAATTATTTTGTGATTTTTTTTTCCATTAATATTCAAATTTATTTCTGTACTGCTGAATTTTTGCACACACCCTTCTTTTCTTCTTCAAAGGGGAAGAGTTAATTCAAACTTACTGCACTTATCTGTTTCCGAGTTTAAGAGCTGCAGTAAATCGGCGACTAACTCGCTGCAGAGTGAGCAGGTAGAAATGACTCCTACAACGATAAGATCCGAGGCTGTGTTTGCTTTTCTCATCCTGTTTGTTAACTGGACAGGTAAGACAGTAAGGTTTTTAACCAACTTGTTGACTCTGCAGAACGGAACCATTAGACGTCAATCGATAACAATTAACCTGCATATACAGGAACTGATGGCCAAACTCTGACTGAGTCTGAACCGATGGTGAAAAGGCCTGGAGACTCCCAGAGACTGACCTGCACGTATTCTGGGTTTGCTCAGCATCACTGGAACGCTTGGATCAGGCAGGCAGCTGGAAAAGGACTGGAGTTTCTCGCTACAATCAGTGGCAACAGTGGCAGCATCTACTACTCTCAGTCAGTGAAAGGCCGGTTCACCATCACCAGAGAGAACAGCAGAAACCAGGTGTATCTGCAGATGAACAGCCTGACAGCTGGAGATTCTGCTGTTTATTATTGTGTCCGCCATTCACGGTGCGGCAGAAAGCAGAAACACTGTACAAAAACTCCCCTGTGCATAAAAAACCTAACAGATGACATAAGGAGGAACTTTTTACTCAAACCTCCAAGAGAAATAAAATCATTGGACTCCATTAAGAAACCTTCCTCTGCTGGGCAAATAAAACAAGCTGGCTTTGGAAGCCTTGTAAGATTTGTTGTTAGTATTTGTTTCCTTCTTTATTTTAAAAGTGTTGAGATCAGTCTGCCAATGTCTACTGTACTATACTTAACGGCATACCTTTGTAAAAATGTCTCGTTTACAATTTTACAGCTTCTATGTGCATAAAATTGTTTTAGTGTAATTTACAGTAACCATAAACCATAAAAGAGCAAAAACCTTTGAGTGAGTTTCCCTTTGTGTTTTTGTGGTTCAGATAGAAGAATAAGATAAAACTGAGTAAATAAATTAATAATAAATGATAATCTTGTAATTATCAAGTTTGCATGAAAATTTTAAGACAGTATCTATCAATGCCAATTAAATCAAACGATATGTATATGGTTTGAAATGATGTAATTTAAGTCAAAAGCAAAACATGTCTATGCTCATTCACTGTTGTGAACT